GTAACTCTGATGCTATCCCGAACCTACCGTTGTATATTGCTTGAACAACAGCTCAATAAATAAATAGATAAATGAATATTGTGTTCATTTGATTGTGTTCCTACTGAGCTCCCTTTGACAAAGAGAAATATCATTTGGAAGGACCTCAGGATTTTAGCACCGTTGAGGCTCAGCTCGTTTCTTTGTTAGGTTCACTGGCAAAGCGCCTTCTCTTCGACTGACCAACATGATGAACCAACCGGAAATTTTTAATAGTTCTTATTATTGTTCTCAACTGTCGATAACGCAACTATCAAAAGTCCATGACCCTGCCAATTTATATATTTTGGTGCCGGATTGGTTTCGTTCAAGTGATATCTGACTGTAGAGTTAACACAGCACCTTGAGGAGTCATGAACGTCCTACTATATATAATTCGCTAAGTGTGTCTGTTGGTTTGTCCGTGTGTGTCTCTTACCGGAAAATCATCACTCCTGTCCTCGTGGACCTAGAGCTTTCAATCTTCGTAGGAGTACGGGGGCAGGATGGGAACACAGAGTAAGTGGCAAGATCGAACTCCGTTCATAGGGAGCGAGAGGTGCACGATAAAATTTTAGGTCGCAAATTCATAAATCCTGTCCCCGTGAATCTTAAGCGTTCAAACTTGGTAGGAGCACAAATGATAGGACGGGAACACTGATGATATATGATAGAGGTGATGACAATTGGGAGGGGCTGATAAAGCACCTTATTGGTTAGAAGGCATGAGCCGCACGACCCGCCACTTCCTTCGTATCAACGGTGGAGCACGGGCACTTTAGTAAGGGACCAATTGGATCGCCCGGCTAACGCCAGCCTCTCCTGCTTCTTGTGGGAAACAACCCTATCCCGAGAAATGTTGAATTGAAGGATTTTTTTTCCTTTTGTCGATTTTTATATCGGCTGCTTAGCTGAGTGAGAGTATGAAACTGAAACAGAGCTCGAATAGGTCATGTCGTCGTAGCATATCACATGGGCTCCGAAGGAAAAGACATCATCTCGAATCAAATCAAGACATCAAATTCATCTCAAGGACATTCTCAAATTCATCTCAAAGGCATGTCTCGATGATGGCTTAACTGACTGACAACTAAAGTTTTGAATGGTACTCACGAATGTTGGCGAGTGATAATACCGCACATTATCAGATTTGGTTAACAGCGAACTTTCTTCGCTACGGATTTATCACTAATTGGAAAACCCGATCATCGGGGGTCGGATGAGTTAGGTCAGAAAAGATATCGAAACAAAAGAAACCACGATGTGTCATTGAGTCAGAAACCTTGCTGGGTAGCGGCCATAGTCCAACAGCGAAAAGTAAAACAAACTTCAATTTTTTCGTAATGGAGAATTGTCTTTGATCGGTTCCTATCACTAAATCTACCTGTCTTATTGAATGAAAAATATCAAAGAACAATGTTTGAATACCAAAGTATGACTGCCGACGTGAAGGGGATAACGAACCATTTCGCTCTAGCCCTGTAGGCTCTTTATCAGCTATTGCTCGTTTGTTATCAGTCCTTGTCACCAACCACCTTTGGTCCCTTCACATCCTACACCACCTATTGTAGTGTTCCCTCATTACTTATTGTTAGAAGGAGGTAGCGGATCCTGCGGCTCTCGCATTCTAAGGCGCTTCATCAGCTCCTTCCAATTGTTATCACCTCTAACACATATCATCAGTGTTCTCGTCCTGCCGCCTGTGCTCCTATCAAATTTGAACGCTCTAGGTCCTTGGGAAAGGAAGTTATGAACTCGCGGCCCAAAATTTCTAATGCGTATGCCCTGCCCCCTGTGAAAGGAGCCCGGTCCTGCCACTTACCATAAGTGCTCTCCTCCTGCCTCCTGTACTCGTGCCAAGTTTGAGCTTTCTAGGTCTACGGGGACAGGAGTTATGAATCTCCGATCAGACACACACCGACACACGCACACACAAACAAACACAAACGAATACATTATATTAGGATGTTTGTGACTCCTCCAGGTGTTGTGTTTCCTCTACATTCAGATATCACTTGCAACAAAACCAATCCGACCACCAAAATATGTAAATTATGGGTCATGAACTTTTGGTAGTGGCGTTATCAACATTTGAGACTAATAATAAGAATTATTGAAAGTTCCAGTTTGTTGCATAAGGTTGGTCAGTCGAAGAGAAGGCGCTGTGCCAGTGAAGCTAATAAAGAAATGAACTAACCGTCAGCGGTGCTAAGATCTTGAGATCCTGTGCAAATGATATTTATCTTTATAAAAGGGAGCTTAGCAGAAACAGAACCAATTGAACACAATATGTGGTGTCGCTTACGCTCATGTGCTGTATAAATTCA